AAAAGGGAAGGAAATTGCGAAATTTACGATCAGCATTCACTTTCACTGACATCAATTTCTTGCATAACGTCTTTTACTTTGCTTTCTCTATTTTTTATTTTTATTACTTTCTTTTCTGAACTCCTTGGTATGCAAAGTTGCCTGCTCATGCACTAGCCATTTTCATTTTAGCAATGCAACATTATCGTTCATCCTCGTGAGACTATTATACCATTAGCATATCTGCAAGACCGCCATATTGGATATTACTGGCGCAGAGGTAGAAACTGAAGTCCAGATCTTAGATATTCTTAGCAAAATCTTGTAATCCGAACTACTTGCCTTTTCTGGTTCGTGACTTAGAGAAGATTGTGAGGAATCTTTTGCAGAAGTGTGTCAAGTCAGATGCATTGCTCAAAGCTTCTACTGTGTATGAGTTGACAAAAATTGATCTTGAGAAAGAGAAGCTTGAGAATAGCAAAATTGAGATTGGGTTCAAGGCTGAAAATGAATTAAAGGCACATAAAAAAGCCAATGCAATCAGCGACCTCCAAGTGCTTGAGTTTAGAGAAGAATGCAGGACCTTTATGGTGAAATTTGTCAACAAGATTCTTGAAAGGTCTCCCATCAAGTACTCACTGGCTCGGAATATGGTTTGTCTAGACCCGAGATTGATGGTGAAGCCTAATGATCAAGAGCAGTCAAAGAACAAATTCAAGAGGTTGTTGGAAAACCTGAATAAACTAAACGAGTTGATGAAGATGATGTAGATCAGTTTGTGACAAGCTTTGTTGAATTCATGCAAAGCATAGCTGGTGGTGAAATGAAGTCACGTTTTGAGGACTTCAAAGTTGAAGATGACAGGTTAGATGAGTTGTTCTATGACTGCATGGCTAAAAATGAGACAAGGTTTGGGAAGCTGTGGGGTCTTGTGCGCAGATTGTTACTTATTTCTCATGGCCAGGCATCTGTTGAGAGAGGCTTCTCTCTTAACAGACAAATAGAAAAAGACAACATGGGTGAAGGCATGAGTGTTGCTCTCAGGCAGATAACTGATCATCTCATACTTGTAGATGGGGTTTTGAATGTTGAAATCACAAAAGAACTTCTCTCGTCTGCCTCTAGTGCACGGCATAGGTATTATCAGTACCTTGAAGAGGAGAGAGCTAAGAAAGGGAATGAAGCCAGGCAAAGAAAAAGAAAAGCTTTTCAGGATGAATTAGATGTCTTGAAAAAGAACAAAAAGGTCTTAGAAAGTGACATAGAAGGTTTGACCTCTTCATCAGAAAAGTATGCTGATGAAGCTGAGGCAAAAGCAGGTAAAACTTGTCATAGCCTCCTGGTGAAATCCAATGCATTGAGGCACACTGCCAAACGGAAGAAAATTGATCTCCAAGACCAAGAACTTTCAAAAGAGATTGAGGAGAAAACCAAGTCACTGTCTGCTATGCCCTGATTGTCATATCAGTTTCACATTTGTTATTGTCAACATGTCTGATCTTTGAAGGTGGTATTAGGGAAAGTAATAGGGTTCTGTTTATTTGAAAATAAATTGTTTAAAGTTGTATATAATAAAGTTTATACAATAAAGATTTATATTTTCTCAATTTAAAATGTTCTTTGTGTACTTTATTTGATGAATTCAAGTTGTTTTCATTTTCCTACCTGTCATACAGATAGGAAAATGAAAATTTGACATCCAGTATGTCAAATAAAGGGTTAGCTGATTGCCCCCAAAAATAAAGATGTGCCCTTCCTTTGGCAGCAATGATTTGTACACCAGCTCAGTGATATGTGGCTTTCTATTCAGCCTGCGTATTCCTGAGCGGGCATTAAATCCACCGTGAATCCCCTGCTGAATGGAGAAAAAGTCCATAAAAATGGCTAAGTTGGTCCTCAAAAGTCAATAAAAGGTCCATAAATAAAAAGCAAGTGGAAGAGTGGGAACCCTGATATATCCTACTCTGGCATCCCTTCACTGGCTCCCTGTACATTTTAGAGTTATTTTCAAGATCCTATTATTTGTTTTCAAATCTCTAAATGACCTCGCGCCACCTTACCTCTCTGAGCTCATCCGCCCCGACACACCTGCCCGGTGCCTCAGGTCTGCGGACAAAACATTATTAGAAGTACCAAGAACTAAACTGAGGCTCAGAGGGGATTGAGCCTTTTCTGTTGCTGGTCCCTCTCTCTGGAATGACCTCCCACTGAACATTCAGCAAGCCTCCTCGCTGCCCATCTTTAAAACCCGCCTCAAAACTCACTTGTACTCTTTGGCATTTGACTCAGCCTGACCCAAATTATGATCTTATTTCTACTGTTTGGTGCTCTCTACCGTCATTGTTACTGATTTGTTGCTTTGCTTTCCTGTTGTATATGTTAGTTGCTCCATGTACAGCACTTTGTGTGGAGCCATGGCTATTTGAACGTGCTCTATAAATACATTTGAGTTGAGTTGAGAGTTGAGTAATAATAATAATCCAAAAAAGAAAGAAAAATCCACCACCAATATGTGATGCTGGTAATGTCACATTGAGTTGTAATCTGAACTCATCTCAGAGTAACCTTCATTGTAATTAGAAACCATAATTGCATGTGTATTTGTCTTCTTGTGTCGTGCAGAAATCAGCGAAGATGCTTGTCGTGAGCGGCTGGATGCAGAGCTCTCTCACTTTAAGGAGGAAGAAGAACAGCAGGCCCGTTACATTAAAAGAGAGGAGGAGCCAGAGCACTCTTGCACGGAAGAAAATGACAACAGATCATCAAATGTTGATGATGAAGATGAAGAGTCTGATGGTGATCTGACATGTCACACTGACAAGAAACCCTGGAAATGTTCACGGTGTGGGAAGATGTTTACTTGTAGGAGAGCTTTGAAAACACACGCGAGAACCCACACTGGTGAGAAACCTTTTGTCTGCTCAGTGTGTGGCCAAAGATTCTCTCATAAGGGAAGCTTAATAAAACACACAAGAACCCACACTGGTGAGAAACCATTTTCCTGCTCAATTTGTGGCCAAAGAATCTCTGACACGACAACCTTAAAAACACACGTGAGAACCCACACTGGTGAAAAACCTTTTGCCTGCTCAGTGTGTGGCCAAAGATTCTCTCACAAGGGAAGCTTAATTAACCACTCAAGAACCCACACTGGTGAGAAGCCATTTTCATGCTCAGTTTGTGGCCAAAGATTCTCTAAGAAGACAACCTTAAAAACTCACACCAGAACACACACTGGTGAGAAACCTTTTTCCTGCTCAGTTTGCAGCCAAGGATTCTCTTGGAGAGTGAGTATGAAAAGGCACATAAGAAAGCACACTGGTGAGAAACCTTTTGCCTGTTCAGATTGTGGCCAAACATTCTCTCATAAGGGATATTTAAAAAGCCACATGAGACTACACACAGGTGAGAAACCTTTTGCCTGTTCAGATTGTGGCCAAACATTCTCTCAGAAGGGAGACTTAAATGTACACTCAAGAACCCACACAGGTGAGAAACCTTTTGCCTGTTCAGATTGTGGCCAAAGATTCTCTCGCAAGGGAAGCTTAAACAAGCATGTAAGAATCCACACTGGTGAGAAACAGTTTGCTTGTTCAGACTGTGGCCAAAGATTCTCTCGGAAGGACCACTTAAAAAGCCACATGAGAATACACACAGGTGAGAAACCTTTTGCCTGTTCAGATTGTGGCCACAGATTCTCTCATAAAGAACACTTAAAAAGCCACATGAGGATACACACAGGTGAGAAACCCTTTGCCTGTTCAGATTGTGGCCAAAGATTCTCCCAGAAGAGAGAGTTAAATGGACACTTAAGAACCCACACAGGTGAAAAACCTTTTGCCTGTTCAGATTGTGGACAAAGCTTCGCTCTCAAGCGAACCTTAAGAAAGCATGTAAGAATCCACACTGGTGAGAAACTGTTCGCCTGTTCAGACTGTGGCCAAAGATTCTCTCAAAAGGCACAGTTCAAAGAACACACCAGAACACACACCGTTGAGAAACCTTTTTCTTGCTCAGTTTGTGGCCAAAAATTGTCGCTGATCTCTCAGATGAAAAATCACGTGTGTTAATGAGATGAATAGTCATCAATGAAGTTTTCACCTCTCATCTGAGTAGGCTTCACGATTTCATGCACCAAGGCTGATTGAAATTTAAATACTTTTATTTTGAAAAGATTTTTTGGTTGTTGTAATGAATTAGAAAATCAAGCATTGTTATCGGTGATATAATACTTTTGGATTCTTCAATATAGTTAGTTTTTATTTGGCTTTGAGTTGTGGTTTTTAAATGTAGTTTGTTTTAATTCATTTTCAGAGGTTGATTGTTTGATTTACTTCTTCATTTTTCGTTTGTTTCTTTTATTTATACTGTCCCATCCTTGACTGTATGGCACCCCACGTATCGAGATATGTGTTTCATCGTCTTTTATTGGACGCTATCCTGAATAAAATGGACATTTTCCATTTTGTCATGAAATGTGTGACGGAGCCATACGTATTGTTTGATACTGTGTGTTGCTTGCTGGCCAATAAAGTTGTCTTTGCTCAAAAAGCTTGGATCAGCTGAGTCTTCTTCAATATCACCCATCTCAATATCGGAGAGATTCACGACTGGTGAGGCACCATTTCCCTGCAGATAGATATAAAAATAGGAGCTCCAAAATAGAAGGTTTGCCCTGTATTTCAATGTTGACATTCATTCTAACATGTTTCAAATAAGGTCAGAATGGAATTTTTGAACACCGCTTTGAACTGGGAGGTCCGAGCCCCAAAGTCAGGAAACAAAAGACCCCAAATTCACTCATCAGAGAAGAGCCCCATGGAGACAAAAACTGAATGGCAAAACATCATCCATTTTCGGATCCCCTTCACCTCATGAGGGTCAAGGATGTGCTGGAGCCTATCCCAGCGGTCTTCCGGCAGCAGGCGGGAGACACCCTGAACTGGTTGCCGGCCAGTCGCACCCAACGCAGAGATAATCAACAATTCACACTCACAATCACACCCAGGGACAATTTAGAGTGTTTCATTAACCTGCCACGCCCATTTTGGGAATGTAGGAGGAAACCGGAGCACCCAGAGAAAACCCACGCAGGCACTTGGAGAACATGCAAACTCTCCATGGGAAGTACGGGACCAGAATCAAACCTTTCACCTCTGCACTGTGAGGCCGACCTGCTGACCAGTCAAGCACCGCGCCGCTGCAAAACATAATATACAAGATGGTGAATGAAGATTTGTACGTCTTTCATTCTCATGACATTCATTTATTTGACATAGCATAGCACGTGATATACGCTTATTACCATTCTCCCCATGCAATAATTTCATATTTCTTGTGTGTTGTGACTCCTGTTGTGTTCTAATAGTGTATGCTAATGTTGTCTTTTGCTTGTTCCTATAATATTTACTAGTTTATTTTTATATCTCTTTTATCATCAGGTTCTGCAGCTTTTGTTCTTTAGAAAACGTTTGAATGCCAAGTTTTCCTTCTTACATAAATCCAATGTCTCCTCTCCTCATTGGGTCTTTTTACGAATGTCTGAATGATAACTCTGACACTGCGTTTGCCAGAATTTGTGTTAAATGCGCTCAAACCTCAATACAGGATATCCAGCACTACTTTTCTAGATTAAAACACTTTGTTAAATCTTAGTGTTCGGTTAAAGTTGTCTCGGTGCTCGTTGGAGCTTCTTGACCGAGTTTAGATTGAGTTTAGCTTCCAAGCCACTAACAAAGAGAAACCTTTGTCATCAACACGTCACTCAGCAGAGACCAAAGAGTTAGCGTCGACAGTTGTGATTTTCGTGTCAAAGTGTGTGCAAGAAGCAGGAGAAAAGTACCAGGAGGAACTTTGTGGGGCGAAAGAGAACAACAAGCAGCACCGCCAACTTCTGGATGCCAGTGGCATGACGCGGCTAAGAATTATTTTTCACAGAGCAGGCTGGGTCACTTCTTTCTCTCATTTTTTTTTTTTTTTGGGGAACACTAAGTTTTAACGTTATACAATGCGTATGTCATTTTTCTTATTTTGTTTTGAAACCAAAATTGGTGATCTATGTGAATCATGGACATCAGATGAGTGATGGATGAAAAAAAATGTGTCTGTGTGCGTGATATTCATATTCTATATTTTTGTGTTTGTGCACACTGCACCCTAAGCTACCTTTCAGTTTCACTTTCACAAAAAAAGTATTTAAAAATAAAATAACATGACAAAGCAGGCTTCCAGTGGCGCGCGACCTGCATCACCGGAAGTTGTTAGCGGTTAGCGGTCGGCAGTCTGCAATTGCAGCTTGCGATCACTTGTGTTGCCCTATCACTCATTTTTAAATTCTTATTCAAAGTTTGTTTCATCTGCCATTCACTGATGGCACTGGCAAAGAATGCGAATCTGAAGTGCCAAGAGAAAAATGTTGAAACGATACATGTGAGCTTGGATAGTGACGTTGTTGCACTGAAGACACTGCTAAAGTGCCTCCCATGCTGTCACGTCAGGTCTCGACTAAAGTAGGCACCAGTGGCGGGCCGTGCATTTCAACCTTAGGCCTTCAGTGACGTCACATACATGAACACAATACTGTATAGGCTCGTCAAGCAGCACTTAATTTCAGGAGCATTGAAAACCATCAAAGACCCCTTATGACGAGTACAATTAATGGATCGGAGTTCCCCTTGCCCGGACGCGGGTCACCGGGGCCCCCCTCTGGAGCCAGGCCTGGAGGCGGGGCTCGTTGGCGAGCGCCTGGTGGCCGGGCCTACACCCATGGGGCCCGGCCGGGCTCAGCCCGAAGAGGCAACGTGGGTCCCCCTTCTCAT